TATATGATGACGATTGTGACGACGATGACGATGACGACGATTATGATGATGATGATCATGATGAGGATGACAATGGTGATTCTGATGATGATGGTGATTCTGATGATGATGCTGATGGTGATGATGATGATGATGATGATGCTGCTGAGGATCATGATTGTGATGATGCTGATGCTGATTATCATGATGCCGATGACGATGCTGATGGTGACGGTGATGATGATGATGATGATGATGATGATGATGATGTTGATGATGATGCTGATGATGATTATGATCGTGAGGATGATCTTGATGATGAGGATGATGATCGTGATGCTGATGACGATGATAACGATGCTGTCGTTGTTCATGATGAAGATGACCCTGGCGGTGGTGGTGCTGCTGATGATGCTGATGTTGATGATGATATTGCCGCCACTGCTGCTGAGGATGAGGATGAGGATGAGGATGATGATGGGGACGATGATGCTGCTGATGATGTTGATGCTGATGATGATGCTGATGATGATGATGATGCTGCTGCTGGTGATGGTGGTGATGAGGATGATTATTATTCTGGTGGTGGTGATGATGCTGATTCTGATGATGATGCTCATGCTGATGTTGTTGTTGATGGTCGTGATGATGATGATGATGGTGGTGGTGATGATGATTATGAGGAGGAGGATGAGGAGGAGGGCGAGGAGGAGGAGGAGGAGGAGAAGGAGGAGGAGGAGGAAGAAAAGGCCCCCCGCCCCTGTCCGCCAGCGGTGCTGGTGCTCAAGAGCATCAAGAGGGAGCTTCAGAAGTGCTCGAGGAGTGGCAGGGGGGACCCGGGGGGGGGACCTGGGGTAGTGGGGCAGCCAGGGGGCCCAGAGGGCATCGAGGGAGAGAGGACGGGGAAACCGATGAGGAGGGAAGAGGAAGAGGAGGACGAGGAGGAGGAGGAGGAGGAGGAGGAGGAGGAGGAGGAGGAGGAGGAGGAGGAGGAGAAAGAGAAGGCGGAGGAGGAGGAGGACGAGGAGGAGGAGGAGGAGGAGGTGTTCGGTCATAGCGTTACGATTGGGTGAGCCGTGCCGCCAGGAGGACTATAGTTCGGTTTTTCCAATAGGTTCCGGACTGTTTTGCACGCCTGTCGGATGCCATTGGTGTTTGGCTGAACAAGTGTTCGCTTTCTCGTTGAAAAGGCTCCTACCAGATTTTCATGTTAGCGGGGCACGTGGTTCGTCCCACGGGTTCCAGAGCAGAGGTGGCGGCGGCGGCAGCTGCAGCTGCCTCAGCGAACCCTGGCACCAACGATCTTTGTTACGATGTATCGTTGCCTGAACTGAAGTACGGGCAGTCTTTCACAATCCAGGCACGAACCGCTTCGCGGAGCTATGTCACGCAGATTACGAGAACGGGGACTAAAGGTACGTGAGCACGGCGCTCAAGGCCAACCGCGAAAGCAAAGCATGAACTTGTTCTTTGAGTGCAGTGCCACACAGGGTGCCGGGACTGTTGGCAACGATGAAGCACCCACGATGTTGCAGATGAGCTACATCAAGAATGCCTTCCTGATCTCAGCTACCGTCCGCAACATGTATTGCGAGGAGCAGCTCAATATCTTGAAAGAGTCTGTGCTGGAGAAACCTCCAACATACATCGAACAGCTCGGAGCATGCTGCCAATATCGCTGGGGCAATGCAGTCAGCAAGGAAGTCCAGAGCATGCGGAGGTGAAAACCAGCCCGCGAGCGAATGTAAGGATGTTCAACAGTGTCAAAAAGTGCTCAGGTGACAGGACCAAGTTCAGAAAACAGAGTGGGAAGCTGTTGAATGCACTCGCCCAAATGCCGCGTGGTTACCGGAAAACCCTGGAATATTCGGATGGGGCACCACCCGATGATGAAGAGGGCAATTTGATGAGGAGGCGTCGTACATCAGAAGAAGAGGAGATGACGGACAAAGCGGGTATGAATTAGACAAAAGCGACTATACCATGTTTGACGAGGATCTTTGTTATTTGTCGAACGGCTAATTTGAGGGAACAGAGGCTTGGGGGATATTCCATGGAGGAATTTGTCTGGGAGCTTCTCAACCACTTTACAAGTCGTACTCTGCGGTTACTAGGTCTACATTTTAATACAACCATGAATCGCGCAGCGTGAGCATTGAAGTACCTTCGTTGAGTCACTGGAAAAGTATGGGTCTGTATATTCGCTAGCATTGCTTTCCAGGGTTGTTTTCTTGAGAACCAGCGTGGCCCATGCAGGTGATTGGTGTGTTGACTGGCAACAAGATTGCCCCCAAACCCCGGAGTGGTTGAACATCGACACGTATCAGAAAGTCTTCGCTCAGCGCGAAGACTGGGCAAGGAACGCAAAGGCTAGACGCCGACTCGAAGAACGCCGATGCACTGGGCACTGGCCAGGTTCACGATGACGCCAGTGGATGGTGGGAAGCCAATGGGGACGATTCGGGTCATTGCGGCGAGGTAGTCAACTGGTGGCCCTGGATGGTGGAAGAATTGGCCGAGAAGGGCAACGCGAACGAAGTTAGTAATGGGAGAAGTAAGGCCAAACGACCCATGTGTTACGGGCGCGGCAGGTACGTGCAAATGGCTACGGGTTGCGCTACCAAAGAAACGGTCAGTTGAAAAAGGACGCGGGAAAGAACACGACGACTCGTGCAACGGAAGCCAAATGGGGATGTTCATGTGCTAAGGGCTACCCAGGTGGTTGCGTGAAGGGAGGCTACAATGGGGGCGGGACCCCCCCAGGAGGTTACAAAGGGGGCCGAGCCCTAGGTTCAACAAAAGAGATAGGCAAGGGGGGATGTGTGACGATCTGCGAGAGGGGGCGCTACACATGCTGCGAAAAGAGGATCACGTCGCAGCCCGCTGCCCACAAGACGCCAACGAGGCAACCCCAGGTCAGGAGGGGGCAGGGGGCCCACGGGGGCCGACGCAGATGTTAAGGCACAATTTTTCATGGCCTGGGAGCTACAGCGTCGAGATGGGCGACGTTACGGGCGACGCGGGGAAGCGCTGATGGCCCCCAAATGCCAGGGCCGCCTCAAGGGGCACAAGGGCGGATGACGCAGCGCTGGGCGACGAAACAGAAGAGCCGGAAGGCGTGTCTAGGAAGCAGGGGGAAGTGTTCATCGCACGGGTGTGGCTTTGATTTTAATTATGGCACCAACTGGGGCGACCGAAGTTCGGGGCGCATCGAGCAGGGGGAAAGTTGGATGCAAATAAGCCGAGCTACAGTTAGTGCAGGTGTTGGGGCCCGACAGGGAAGTCAGTGAAGCACCAGTGAGAGACCAAGGAAGAGGTGGGGGCGATGGTTGCCGCTGTGGACTCAGGAGCCCACGGCGCTGTTGGACCTCCGCGCGCGGGAATCCGCTCCCCCGCTGAGCCCGCGGGTGCCTCCAATGACGGCGAACTCTACAGTGCAGCGAATGGGCCGGCCATCAGATACCATGGCAACGGATTATGGAGGGGAAGCACGTCGATCGATGGTGAGCACGCCCGCCCAAACAGCCGATGTTAAAGTGCTACTCGGGTCTTGTTAAGGCCCAGTGAAGCGACCACCCCCCCCTTAAAGTTTCGTTCAGTGCGGCGCCCGAGCGTCGCCCGTGCACCAGCCTCCTCTTTTGTCATTCCTCCTCCTTCGTCCTCTCTCCTGCCTCGTCTCCCTCTCTCCTCCCCTTCTCCTCCTCCTTTCTACCGGCCCCCCTCTGTCTGTCCCTCCCCCCTCCTCTCTCGTCTTTGTTTTTCTTTTTCCCTTGCCACCCCGTGTCCCTCCTCGCGTTCTTTTCTCCTTCGGCACCCCTTCCACGGCCGCGGCGCGTCGCCGCGAGCGGCGCCCCCGCCTTCCGCGAACGGCCCCGCCGCTGGCGGTGGGAGAGGAAGATTACGAGGAGAAAAAAGGGGGGGGGCAGGGGCGCGAGGCGGGCGCGGCGGCAAGGGCGGGCCGGCAGGGGAATGGGTGGGGGGGGGGCGGAGTGAGCGGGTGATTCTGTAATGGTCATTTTGGTGATCATGGTCGTGGTCGCGTTCGTCGCCTTGGTCGCGTTGGCGGCGGTCGCGCCGCTGGTGGTGGGCGGGCCGGTGGTGGTCGCGTCGGTGATCGTGCTGGTGTCGGTCGTTGTGGTGGTCGCGAGAAGCGTGGTGGTCGTGGTGGTGGTGATAGCGGTAAATGGTGTTGGTCGTAACCGTCGCGGTGGATGTGGTTGCGGTCGCATCCGTCTGTGGTGGCGGCGGTAGTTTTTGCGCTGGCGGCGGTTGCGGCGGCTGCGGCGGCGGCTGCGGGGACCTGCGGGCCTATCGCAGGGCTACGTTCAGCAGCGTCGCAGCATTTGTAATGTTAGGGGGATTTGCCGATCTGCCGAGGTAGCCCAGCGGCCGCCTTCTTCTCGCCAAGAGGGCCGCAGCGTGGGCGACTTTCTTTTTCCTGAAGACGACCAGCCATGTCAGCGGCAGTGGAGAGGGCGACGCGCGTGCGATCCGCCCCGCGGGTGTCCGCCGCGCTGGCGACGTACTCACCAAATTGCCCCCTTGCGAGGGCGACGTGCACGTTCGAGAGGACGGCTGGCCCTTTCGGCGGCCGACGCACTGGCGGCGCACGGGCGACGAATGCGCGACGCACCTCCTGTCGCGAAGGGGGGGGTGTCAGCGCGCCGGTCGCTTTACTGGGCCTTCACATCGGGTCTGCGCGTGAGATGGTCGAATCAGGGGGTCGCATTGTGTCAGGTCGACGTGGCGGTGGGCGATCCAGCAGTTGCTTCGAACATGCAACAGTTCGACAGAAAACGACGAAACACTATCGCAACGATAATATCAAATTCGCCATGCGGGTCCCAGAAGGGGCTACGGGCCAGGAGAGCGGGAGGGAAGCGGCACGAGTTAGTAAAGAGGTGTTCGAGGGTTTTGTCCCGCAGGAAGTTTTCATGGAGGACCAGCTTTACTCAGCCCGAATATGCCCGTGAGCCCTGGCGGGCATCCAGCCACCATGAATTTGGAGGGCGAAGGGGGCGACGGTGGGGGCAGAAGGTCAAGTGGCGCGGGTGGCGCGTTCGTCGGAGAGGAGGCCGAGGCACCTGAGATAATTGCGTGTCGTCTACGACCAAGCGAAGTAGAAGTTCAGCAGCGTGCTAAAACGCACTTGCCCCGCCGAAACCGGCGCCCCCCGCCGCGCTCGAGGGCCGGCTTTGAGGAAATCGCGCGGGGCGACGTCATGGGCGGTGGGGAAAGGAGCGCAGGTGATCTCAATTGACTGCGCGTGGCCAACTGGGAAAAGAGGAGGCAATGCGGAAGAGGGCAATCGGACGCCCAATCATCGCCATGCAATACTGCGGCAAGGAGTCAACATGGGGCGGAATGTTTCTTAATGAAAATAGCATGGGGCGGCAATCTGTCGAGGTAATTATTTTGCGATGCTGACTTATTCGCTTGCCGCGACAAAGTGATCCTCAAAAGCGATGGGGGTCGCCCATGGCGGCGCTCCAGGACGCCGCGGGAAGTCTCCTGCGGCCTCGGCGCAGGGGGGGAGTTAGCCCCGCTGGAGAGCCCCGAGCTCATTCTGAAGTCGAGAGGGCGATCGGAACTGTGCAAGGCCAACTTAGGGCGCGCAAGAGTGCCTTCGATGACAGATATATGATTGAGTTTGGGGAGAATCCACTACTTATACCTTGTTTGGTTTCCCGTGCATCTCCCCTAGCCCGCGAGTTCGCGACCGGCTTCGACGGCGACGCGGCCTGCGGGGGGCGCCGAGAGAGGAAATTCAATCAACCGCTGCCCGAGTTTGGGGCGTCTCATGCGCCGAGGGTCTCGCCG